AAAAAAAAAAAAAAAAAAGCTGGGTGTTGTGGGCACCTGTAGTCCCAATTAGTTGGGAGGCTGAGGCAAGAGAATCGCTTACCCCCAAGAGTTTGAGGTTGCTGTGAGCTGTGATGCCATAGTACTCTACGCAGGGTCACATAGTGACTCTGTCTCAAAAAAAAAAAAAAAAAATTGATGAGGGCCAGCTCGGTGGCTCACTGCTATAATCCTAGCACTCTGAAAGGCCAAGGCAGGTGGATTCCTTGAGTTCATGAGTTTGAGACCAGCCTGAGTAAAAGACAGACCCCATTTCTACTAACATAGAAAAAAACTGGGCAGCATCCATAGCTCAGTGGGTAGGGCACTGGCTACATACATCATCGCAGGTGGGTTCAAACCCAGCCTGAGCCTGCTAAACAACAATAACAAACTAGCCGGGGGTTGTGGTGGGTGCCTGTAGTCCCAGCTACTGGGGAGGCTGAGGCAAGAGAATCGCTTAAGCCCAAGAGTTTCAGATTGCTGTGAGCTATGACGCCACAGCACTCTACCCAGGGTGACAGCTTGAGACTCAGTCTCAAAAAAAAATCATGAGGTTTATGGATTGGAAAAAGGAGGGCTTTATTTCTCATAAAGAGTAGCAACCTGTCAGGGAGCCACTCAAACAGTTTGGGATGCAGAGCTCTGGCCAGAAGCCAGGTACAAGTGCTTCAAGGAAGAGACAAAAGGGAACAAAATTTTATACTGAGCAGTAGTCAAATATACATATTCAACAAGCTATAGGAGGAGTCATGAATATTTATGAATAGAAATCACATGCATGTAATTGTGCTTTATCTCTCCCATCCAGCCCTGGCTGGGAGCTCAATCTTAAGTTGATTCTGGGGTCACCTTGGTGGAGGTGGGTCCATTTAGTTAGCAAAGGGTTTCATATTATTTTTAGTTTAGAGTCCCCCCCTTTGGCCAAGATATGACAGAAACAGTATGATGGCCAAACTTTATTTTGTTCCATCATTAATGAAGTGACATGACTATATTCTTGTGAGGACCATTTTACAAAAAGTAAGAGAGTGAAGGAAGCATCACTTGTGTGGCTGTCACTGGGTAGGTGGAAGAATGTCTGATTCTGTCTCCTCTTTGGTTCTGTTACCTGTAAGATAAACTTGTAATTCATTTAGAGACTCTGTCTCTAAAAAATAAAATAAAATAAAAATAAATAAATATAGATAAATAAATAGATAAAAAGAAACCCAGGGCGGGCTCGGTGCCTGTTGCACAGTGGTTACAGCACCAGCCAACACACCGAGGGTGGCAGGTTTGAACCCAGCCTGGGCCAGCTGAACAACAGCTGAACAACAGCTAAACAACTGTAAGAAAAAAACAGTTGGGTGTTGTCCCAGCTACTTGGAAGGCTGAGGCAAGATAATCACTTAAGCCCAAGAGTTTGAGGTTGCTGTGAGCTGTGACGCCATGGCACTCTACCTAGGGTGACAGTTTGAGACTCTGTCTCAAAAAAACAAAAAAACACCCCAAAAAACAAACAAAAAAGAAACCAGGGTGATATAATAGAGACTGGAGCCCGTCAGGGCTACTTTTTTATTTGAGACAGAGTTTCATTATGTCGCCCTCAGTAGAGTGCTGTGCTGTCATAGCTCACAGCAACCTCAAACTCCTAGGCTTAAGCGATTCTCTTGCCTCATCCTCCCGAGTATAGCTGGGACTATAGGCATCCACCATAATGCCTGACTATTTTTAGAGACGGAGTCTCCTCTTATTTAGATCTTGAAGTCCTAAACTCAGGCAATCCACCCACCTGGCCCTTCTGATTATTTATTTTATAGCATTTTCCACTTTTGATGGGATTTTGTTTATTCATTTGTTTACTTTGGGGTTATCTGTCCTCCCTCTCGACCCCTCCAGGTCCCAACACTTGAGCTCTGTGATAACAAATCTTTCTCATCTCCCCTTCCTATCCTAGAATAATTCCTTTTCTTCTCCTACCCTAGAATAATTGCCTGTGAATGTGTTACCTTAGGTGGCACAAGTTACATCAGAGATGTGGTTTAGTTAAGGACTATCTATGAATGGGCTCAAAGTAACCACCAGTGTTCTTTTTTTTTTTTGAGACAAAATCTTAAGCTGTTGCCCTGGGTAGAGTTCTGTGGTGTCACGACTCACAGCAACCTCAAACTCTTGGGCCCACCAGTGTTCTTATAGGAGTGAAGCCGAGGGTTAAAGTCAGAAAAGGAAGATGTGGACCAGGGGTCCTCAAACTTTTTAAACAGGGGGTCAGTTCACTGTCCCTCAGACCATTGGCGGGCCAGACTGTGGGCCCCAGGATGAGTTGGCTGCTAAGCAGGATAGGCAGCGGTGGCAAAAACACACGGATAAATGTCCTAGGCGGGCTGTAGTTTGAGGACACCTGATGTGAACAATGGGATTAAAGGTAGGAGCGATACAACTGCTCACTCTGAAGATGGGAAGGCACCCTGAGCCAATGAATGTGGCAAGTTTCTAGAACAGAGGTTCTCAACCTTTGGGTCACAACCCACAGGAAATGTATTAAAGGGCCGCAGCATTAGGAAGGTTGAGAACC